ATGAGGAGCATATGTGAGTATCTTTAGTGTTTAAGTAGGGGAGAAAACAAACCTTTTTCAAAAAAATTTAGCCTATTTTAAGTGATATATAACTATTTGTGACGGAACTGACATGTACTTCATTTCCTTTGCACAATTTGTCTGATACTTCTTCAATGGTGATGCAGTGGGATCTTGAGTGATCGATCAAAGCGTATTGTCTTTTCCATGGCAAGACTTGATAGAGTGAAAAATTTAACTGGACTTGTTGAGTTTTATGCTAAGAGCACCAAGCTAAGAGAACTGGTAAACCTTGTTGTGGTTGGTGGTTACATAGATGTCAAGAACTGCAGGGATAGAGAAGAAATGGCAGAGATTGAAAAGATGCATGGCCTCATTAAGAAATACAATTTGAGTGGCCAGTTTCGATGGATAGTGACCCAAATGAACCATGCTCGTAATGGTGAGCTGTACCGCTACGTTGCAGACACAAAAGGTGTCTTTGTGCAGGTATGTGGTATAGATATATGATGGTTTGTTATGGTATTTATTTTCCGGGTTTTAACCTGTTCTCTTATCTGTTGCAGCCTGCTTTTTATGAAGCTTTTGGCCTCACCGTTGTGGAAGCCATGAGTTGTGGCCTTCCTACTTTTGCAACTTGTCATGGTGGCCCTGCTGAGATCATTGAGCATGGTATTTCCGGGTTCCATATTGATCCCTATCACCCTGATCAAGTGGCTGCACTTCTGGTTGACTTCTTTGACCAGTGCCAGGAGGATCCTGGCTATTGGGAAAGGATATCTGAAACCGGGCTTAAACGAATTTTTGAAAGGTTTCGTTTGTTCTGGCAAACTATTAAAAAAGACAATTTTTGTCAACCTCAGGGTAACTAATTTCATGCTGAATTGTCTAGGTACACTTGGAAGATATATTCTGAGAGGCTACTCAATTTAGCTGGGGTTTATGGATTCTGGAAGCATGTGTCTAAGCTTGAGAGACGAGAGACGCGGCGATATCTGGAGATGTTTTACATTCTCACATACCGAAACCTGGTCAGTAGTCTTATCCTTCCCTGTATGACACAGTAGACTCCCTGTAATCTGTAAGTCGGTTTTACATTCTATTTAGAAAAAGAAAAAGGTTACCGCAAGCAAGAAGCTAAAATATCTTTTCGGCTTCTACATTTTCCTGATTAGTGGCTCGGTAGATCACTTTTCGGCTTCTGACCATGATTCTGATCCTGTTTCAGGTGAAGTCCATCTCGCTGGCTGTTGATGAGCAGCATTGAAGAATCATATCATAGGTGCCAAAGAAGCAGTTTGCTTGTT